AGGCGACAAGGAGAGGAAAACATGAAAGGATGGGAGGTGGAGGGAAGGGATGGAGCAGATGTTTGCGCAGGGGAAGAAGAAAGCAAGGCTGTACCTCTTATTTTGCAAAAAAACGAACAGAGTTTAAGTTTTCTGTCTTAATGTCAGGTTTTGTAATTCCTGCTAGCTACATTCTTATACTGCTAAAACAAATAAACACAAAATAGATTTGAAAAAAAGGAACATATCTTTGTTTATATTAAATCAATGATACACTCAACCTTTTTTTTGTTACCAAAAAGAAGCATACCATTTAAGGATTGTCTAACGGTGTGTTGCAGGCCTCTACACAAAGCTTGGCACAGTCTGTTTCTCTCTAGACTCAATACACTGCCATCGGCCATTTGTTGTCATCATTTAATTAGTTGCATTTTCTTTTCACATGTGCCCTCAAGACACATGTTTACTCGTTGTGTTTTCACACCTTCTTTTGCTTATTAGCACCTTGATCACATTAACTGATCATGACACCAAGTTGAGAAAAAATCCCTTCCTTTCAAGGACCCACATTTTAAAGATTCAGTTTGATTTGCAATCAAGAACACTATAGCACATTCATTTAGTGACACTTTTTGTATACATGTGTTAAGTTTTACAGACAAAAAGCATCTAGCAGGGTTCTTACGGTCATTAAAAACCTGGAATAGTCATGGAAATAAAAAATGCTAATTCCAGGCCCTGGAAAAGTTATGGAAAACAATATTTTTCCCAAAGTTTTGGAAAAGTCATGGAAATGTAACTAAAGTTGCATCAAATATAATTTATATTTAATCTAATCGCCGAAATAGTAATACTATAAAGATAATAAATACTGTATGGTATAGTAATGAAACGTAAAATGGTATTTAACTGACGAGGTATTTTGCTGGTGAGAGATTTTAGTTGGTTAGCGTGTAGAAGCTAGTAAGCCTATTTGTTTTAGATAGGCATAACATGTTTCGGATGCAGACCTTATTTTCCTGTTCCATGTTAAAATAAACCATTTTCAGTGGTACCGCTGAGAAAGAGTAATTTTTTCGGTCATGGAAAATTAGGTAAAGGTCCTGGAAAAGTCATTGAAAATCATTGGTGAAAAAGTGTATGAACCCTGATCTAGGTGTAACTTCACTCCTGCTAAAAAATGATGTTATGCTTTTCTTGTTGCGTATTTGTTTCCCAAACCGGCATTTACTGAAGAAAGCTAATAGATAGATATCACGTTAAGCGTAATTATTATGGTGTTGTAAAGTGTTGTGAGGCAAACAGCAAATTGGACAGACTAGGTTGGAGACAGCTGTACTGGGAGTTGCAAATGAGACATAATTGCAAACTAATGCTTAATCACTTATGAACAAAACTCCAAATAATTGTAATTATGCAGAGAATAGATTTATGTAGAAGATACTGAATGATGAGCCGTACCATCATTTTTTCCTTCAAAATGGATACATAGCCTCGGGAATTAATTTCCAGAATAACATTGCAATGCAGCTTGTAATGAACTGTAACCAAAGAGCTATAATGAGATCCTTTCATGGCTAATTAAAGTGAATAAATAGTTAGCTATTCTTCCACCTCAGGCTGTCCGTTTTTACCAAAGAAGACAAGCAGGTTTCACGATGTACAAACCCCTCCTTCTCTTTCCTGCTAGTAATGTCTTGTTGTCTGCCCTGACAGGATAACTGATAACTCGGTGTGCCTCCAACTGACAGAGTGAAGGCCCGAGTCTCCTTTCGCTACGTCTCAGTTATCAACGTAGCCTGAATTAGTCCGTCATCTCACTCCAGCTTTCTGGAGTGTAGCGACGTGCCACTTGTCAAAAACCCATCCGCAATGACTTGAAGCCTGCTAACACGCACACCTTCTGAAAAAGACAGACGAACAAGTGCGTACACACTCACACGTCAGGGAGGCAGACATCACCTGCGATAGTCTGCAGCTCATTTTAAATGGCATCGCAAGTAGCACAGCAGGACGCAAAACGCCAGCTCTCGCAAGGTAGAAAAAAAGCAAATGGAAAACAAGTACACTTATTGTGACTCATGAATTCCCACTCTTTTCACACAAAACCAAACATATACGCTTGGCGAATAAAAGGCACAGCAGTCCACTGTTTGAAGTTTGTGATAAATGGTGCGATCTGCTTACAGTACACATTGATTTTTTTTTTACACTCGCTTATCGCTGTTAATGATCATCATTTATATAGTACCGGTAGTCTATTATGTATTTTGCTGTTTATCAGCCTAGTGATGACAAATCCCCGTACATTTTTTTGAAAAGTCTACTCCACCCCTTCTATGATTCACTTCTCTGTTTTTTTCAATTTTGTATACAGTACAGTAACTGCCATTGCTCTAAGATCCTATTCAAATTGAATGAAGGGACAGGGAGTCTGTCCGGGGGTGAGGTTTGACGTCGCATGGCGGCAGGCCTGGACATCCATGATCTGATGCTGGAAAGGAAGTCCGTCCCGCTGTGGACCGTACACACATGAGTTTAGACGCTTTGGTCTAATGTGTCTACAAGGCTGTAGCCATGCTGTGTCACGTATACACAGCACTCTGTAGGATCCTGGGCTCAGGCTGTGTGTTAAGGAGCTGACCTCGCTCTTTGGAAGGTCAGCCTCTCTGCACTTGAAAAGCTTCTCGTGTGCATCTATGCATTCGACAACCCTGCCTGCCTGGCCAACTGCTCGCCCGCCCGCCTGCCTGCGTGTCAGCTTCTAATGATGAGGATGATGGAGGGAATCAAAGAGGAGACGGAGCTGACGTTGGGGCGAGCGCTCCATGGGACACCAGGTGATTGGGGAGGGAGCTTTGAAGCAACTTGTTGGATGGCTTTCCATTAATGTAAAATATCTCCTTTTCAAAGGGCTTTATTCAAGCTCGGAGTAGCGGAGCCCATAGGGGTCAAGGTGTACGGCGGAATTATATCTCTCTCTTTACAGAGAAAGCAAGATAAAAGAAAGGATAGTTTGCGCAGTGACCTGGCCTTCTCCTGCCTTCCTGGCGACCTTCCCGGCGTCATGGTTTCAGAAATACCGTCGCAAAGGAAGAAAAGTGCAGGAGACAATCCTTGCAATGAGTGGTCTCTGGTTACATTAGGAGTTTTTACATGCAGGCTGCTTGTATCAGGCTGAGTTTGGAGCGGGAGGCTCCAGTCTATTTGATCTATGAATGTTATAAACCATGCTTTTTGATCCTTTCTGGATCGCTATTTATTTAGTTTGGTCAGGGATCAATGCGACTCCTGGCATTATGAGGCAGCCAGCGGTTCTCACAGATCAATTTTCTCCAGTCACCATGAACTAAGGAAGGACAGACAGAATTTAATCTACCAAGTAGCAGGTTTATGAACAGTGAATTATGGCTGCGTAAATCGCTCCATCCGTTTTAAGTTACCACGGTACAGTTACAGGTCGATCTTGGCTCATGAGAGCGACAGTAGGAAAGAGTAACAGAGAGGTTACAGCAAAGATCACAGCCCTCTCATCGTATGCTGTGACAATCCCTCTTGTCTCATTCAATGAGGCTAAAGGCAGACATAGATGACACGCAGCAGTCCATCCCGCTCATGACCCCTATTAAATCCCAGCAAATCTTTGATATGTACTTTGATACTATATTTTATTGATACTGGAGGGGTGTGAGCAATATCAAGAACAGTTCTGCATTCCAGCAGATCAGAGCGAGGGCTGTTTCGTCTCAGAAGCTGTCTCGTGAACTTTGAGGGGTCCCCGTCATCTCATACAACTGAACCTCGGTTGGCTGTGGTCCACTTTACTTTTTACAAGAGATTGTGATGTATGGGCTCTCCATGTTGTATTTGTCTACAGTTTCTCTTTCATGGACACACTTCATTTTATTACTTCAGTTATCTGTCCACTAATGATCACCTTGTTTTTATGTTCAACTCAGATCCGTTTGAAGTAATACAAAAAATGTGCGTCACATTGCATGATGCGACGTTTACCACCAACTTTCAGTGCCGTAATCAAATGACCTCCATTGCATTTCATGAATAAGCATCTCCAAAACGTGGTTTATTCAGTACTTCTGAGAGAATATTTTGGTGGTATAAAGGGGAAAACCGGAAAGAAATCCCAATCTAAGGATCACCACTACATATACACACACACAAGCACTCAAAGGCTCCTTCCTATGATCTGACCTGACAACTCCTAAGCTACCGTTTCCTCATGCTGCTTAACTGGGACCACATTTCTCCCAGAGAGCCTCTCCCCTCTCACTGGCCGGACCTCTCTCCCCATTTCATCCCTCGCTCTCTCCATTCCTGTAGTCCAGCATCTGGTTTGAATATAGCGACGTGTGCTGGTGTGTTACTGATGGAAGCTGGGACTGTAGGTTTCGCTTTGATTCTTCTTTTTTTTCCATCCTCCTCATCTCTCTTCCTGCTCAGCTTATACAATGCTGGCTTTGAGAGAGCAAAGTTGAGTGTGCAGCTTCTGTTTAGGTGATTTGGTGCTTACTGTGTGTATATATAGATGAATAGCAGCCAAGGGAGAGGGCAGGTGGTTATTTGGTGGTGTATTTTTCTATCTTTAATATTCATTTTCATACAATTTATTCCAAAGTGTTGTATGCTTTGTTAATCACCCACTAATGACACCTTATTTGTTTTGGCATTGTGTAGTCTATTTTTATGATTAGGCTTGATGTCCATTATAATCTATGTAGAAACATTTTCTTGGAAGAAATTTGACTTTAATATCATTCTTCAACGATGTATCCAGTACTTGCATCCATGCATTGTTTGTGAATGCTGATAGGAGCTCGGAACAAATGTTTTAAACCTTTTTTTTTGCTCTCGTTTGCCTGTTTCTCCTATATTCTTGGGTAGTCACAAGCTGTCGTATCTTAAAACATTTCACATTAGTGATTCAATAGTGTATTCCAGACCAAATGCATGACGTGAAATAATGAGGCTCTCTGTCTGTGTGTTGTGTTCCTTTGCTGCAGACAGAGGCCAGGGAGACCATCCCCAGGATGTTGGCTGAACTGGACCTGGGCCGGACGGAGAAGTGTGTGAGGGTGAACTCTGTGTCCAGTGGCTTTGCTGAGGCTGACCTGCAGGTCATCCTGCAGGCTGAGGTTCTCCCTCCTGCCATCATGTTGCCTAAAGTGGAAGACACACAGGAAGTGCAGTGGGTAAGTTGGAAGTATTTGCTTGCCTTTGAAGTGCTTCTGTCGTTTTCTAAAGTCAAAGAAGACTTACTGAAGTAACCGGAAAGAGATTTATTTCAAAACCATGTGCAATGGATTCCTAAAAAAGAAAAGAAAAAAGCAACCCAAAGTTGCAATACATGCAAAAACTAAACAGGACTAGAACAAACATGATTTTTCTCTCTTTCTCCTCTGGGTGTCTCTTTAAAAAAACACAGCGGTGCTCTTACGCAAACTCATGGAGTAAGAGGAAACCACGGGAATCTTGAAAGCAATCATAACAAACTTTTCTATTTCCCAGTAAAACTGGGAATCGATCCCTGTGGCAGAACTCGGGGACAGAGTGTTTTTCTTGGCCGCTGCTCAAGTAAAAGATGACATTTCTTCGGATTAGCTTCAAAAGCCTGATAGCTCTCTGAAACATCACAACGGGACCTTCTGCTACTGCTGAACTTTTTAAGGAAACATTTTAAGATAAGATAAGAAGTACTTTGTTGATCCCAATTTGGGAAATGTTTGATTAATATTGTTGTAAAGGGTTTATCCAAATCAAACTTAAGGCTCCAAACGGGTGCCAATCAATTCCATGCTGAAACATGCATTACATTCAGTTATTTATGGACACCTTTGAATATGTTTTGATATTAACTTGAAAGGCTATCTTTCCAGTTGTGTATGAGCAAGAAAACAAACTGATATCTTAAGTTACAAAGTGAGAATGTAAATCTAGTTGCCTTTTGACTTGGTACTTGAAGGTCTCCCGTCACCTCTCTGATCAAAAACTCTTCTAAATGATGGCACACTGATATTATTCCCAATTTTCAGTATTATAAATTGCAATTTGTCCATACTAACTGCGCCTGCGCCCTAGTTAAGAGGTGCTAGTCTGGGCTTGGCCATCCCTCTGGCTTTCTATAAAGGGGCGCTGTACGGATGTCAGGTCCCCAAAGGTCAGGAGACAGTGACATCATTAATGCAGGCTTTTCTGATCAGCTCCATATGGTTCACTTACCACAAGGAACCAGGTTACTGTCAGCCTCCTTCCCTGTGTGTGTGTGAATACAGTTCACAGGTTCAAGAACTTCTTGCTGAATACGGTTGACATTCTTTTCCTCTCTTTTCACACATTTTAATATTGACATGCCGTTTACCTAAGCATTTTTTAAGTGGCTGTTTTCCTCTTTAAATCTTTTATTATGTCAAGAAGAAGAAGAAGAAGAGACATTAAGAATTGTTTAGAAGAGAGAGGTCAAAGGAGGGTGTTTTGTTTGGCTTTTCCCCCAGCTTTACGCCCACACACACACACACACACACACACACACACACACACACACACACACACACACACACACATTTTTAACTAGTGCTTTTAATTAGAACACATCTATTTCCTGCTGCCCTTTTCTTTCTTCCAAGTATAATTGCTGACAGGTGTTCACTAATTCTCTCCCTAAGCTCAGCCGTTCCTCCCTTCACTACTTTTCTTCGCTTAAGTCAATTTTATTCTGCATTCATTTCCTTTTTTTAAAGAAACAACAACAAAAATACATCCACCGTTGGGTATTATTACGCTGAAAATCAGTCAGCCCATTGAGAGCTATAAAGTGATAGAATAATTGCCTGCTTATGTCCTTATTTTTTTCTAAAGCTTTGTCGCAGGAACACTGAGTGTACTGTAAATCTGTTTGCACGCTGGATTTACAGTGTGCTTGTCGGGGTGTTTCTGCATCAGCAGGTGCATGTGTGCTTCTGAAAAAGTCAGTTGCTTTGGAGAGGTCCTTGATTTACTCATGTATGCTCATCTAATCTCTTCTATGTCCCTCAAACTTTCTCTGTGTCTTCTTCACTCAAGCTTCTCTGTGTGTGCATTCTTATGCATGTCTGATTTTCTCCACTCTTGTAAGGCAGCACAGTAAATCCCTTACTTGTTTATTTTTCTCCCTTGTTTCTCTCTATTGATATTAGCACAAGAACCTCCAGACTGATTTGTCGCTAAAAGATGGACTTGCTTGTTTCCCTTTGTGTGGAAACCTTTAGCTCTGCCTTCCTCCTCTCCCCCGGCCCTTGTGTGACTGACAGGCCTTATTGGGGTATAACAGGCGTAACTCCCTCCTTTGTCTGAGGACAATTCTCACACAGATTCGGAGCCATGTGCATTCTTTGCCCACCACACTATTTGGTGTGCACTGGGACCGAAAGAATCGCACCCTGTCCCGCTCCTCCTCCTCTACTCCTCCTCCCGTCCCCTCCCCTCATCCCTTTCTCCGCTTCCCCTCTGTGAAATGAACACTTCAGCAGGCCGGAAACATTTAATCTGGCCCCCTTTTGAAGAAAATTAATTGAAACTTGTCCCACTATAGCTTCCTTTCTCTGGCTCCATCTCTCCCTCCTTCTCTTTTCATGATTGGGTGGTGAAATTGTCAGAGGGCTTGTTTGTAGCGTGGCTTTGAATGGTGATAAGAGGTGTTATTTCTCCTTTTCTCTTTCCCTTACTTTTGCAATTCAGCAGTGAATAACATCTTAAAGGGTCCTAGTTTTGAGAGCCATTGACAGCTAATGGTTTCTGTATGCAGCAGAGGAACAATGAACCGGCGCTATAGTACCTCTTATGCAGTGCAAATCAGGCCCTCAGAGTGTATAATGGCTGAAGAGGAGAATACAGAAGGACAGAAACATGTAATCAGAGAGGCAAGGAGGTTCTTTAGCCAGCGTTGCCGCCGCATTGAGCTGTCATTTGTTTTCCTTCGGCAGAATCCAAACACACGGCTCGGCTCGTCGCGGCCTTGTTGGGGTTTGCGTGGCACAGTGTCGCCGTGGTAATCTCTGTGTGTAATATCAGCCCACAACGGGCCGTATCTATCTAGTTTCCTCTGTCACAGAAATAGGTTTATATCTACACCCTCTTTTCACACTCCCTCTCTGACCCCCCCCACCCCTTCCTGTGTTTGCGAAGGAGGGGGGATATTATGCTAAGCCCCCAGCGTTAGTTTTTATGTTACCATAGCAGCCTTGCTCCCACAGGGTTGTGACCTCAGATGATTACAGTACAAAGCCTATTGGGTCTTGAAAACCTCTTTGAAGATGAAAAGTCTTTGATGGTTTGTATTTATGCAAATCTCTCAGATATGATTTATCCAACAGAGATTGAATAGAGAGATGATTAAAATTGCCCCTATTTTTTGAAATCCTTCAATGGATGTCCTCTCTTTCAGTTTTTCTGGACAGGAGTGGTGAGTGCGAGCACAGGGTTGTTATGCTCCTCATTTAGAAAAATAGCAGTGCTCTACCTGAGGTTATTTGTATCTGTCTTTTTTCCTGGTGTGTCAAAGAGGGAGCGAGAGAAAGGAGAGGAAGGGGGGACATGGAGTTAGACATTTCTACTCTGAGCTTTTGCGCCCTCTCCTTTTCTCTTTTTTTTTTTGACTGGCATTGAAAGGAAATATCTGACGGAGGGGGCTTTTGTGTGTTTCCAGATGATAGATTTTGGAATTTGGGCTACCCCACTGGCAGTCCAGGGCTAGCTGTGAACTGGTCTGTTGGAAAAAAATTGAAATGCTTTGGTCTTCAAAGAATTAAACTTGGTTTTAAAGCCCTACTTAGGTGAGCTTGCATATTAGCAGGAGTTGTGCAGAATAAAGGCCTCAGCAAAGTGTCACATCACACTCTGATTGTTGCTCCAGTCTCCCTGTTCCCTGCCATGGAGGGGGGGGACGCAAAACAGAATAATGTAGGAGTGACACACTCAAAGACATCCCAAATCTTGTTTCTTCTCCCCTTTTCGGTATTCATTTCTTCGTGTGTATGCATGTGCTCGTGCGTGCATGTGTGCATTTACATATGTGCACACTCTCTCAGGGGAACACATGCTGTAGTTCTGCAGAACCTGCGAAAGAAGCTGGAGCAGAAGACTTCAGACGAGGGGGGGAACCCTGGTGATAATGTAAAATATTTCATTTCCCCCGCTTTTGTTGTTGCCCTCCTGTGCTCGCTCTCTTCGCTATTTGAACTCTCATAGATGTGTTTCTGCGTAAGGACTGAAATGGAAACAGTGCAGGTAATAAAGGTGTCAAGATTCATATCAGAAGTGAGTTTTTGCATGTTAAGAGTTCTCTTTCCCCCCCCCTCTGTCTCTTACCCCACAGTGGATTGTGAAAGATGTGTCAAATCATTTATGTATTTTTACTCCTGAGGTTTCTTTTACTACCGGTTTTAAATTCACTCTGACTCGATAGCTCAATATGTAAGTGTTGGTTTCCTGTTTTTCTCATTTATATAACTAATAATGGATCATTAGTCCTACGAGGACTTCAGCTGCACACATTCTACAGAGGAGCACACAAATAGAGACCAGCAGAACATATCATTTCCTTGTAGATCTGTGCATATTAAAAATATCACAAATGGAATCAGGCTTATCATGAAGTGTTTCTATAACAAAGGCTATAGTGAATAGTCAGTATGTGCTCCAGCAAAGCAACATCTAATAAAAGTGACGACTGTACAAAGTAATTAATTCATTTTGATTGTTCGGTTTATTGTTTTCTATTTACAGAAACCCTGGGTGTTGTTAATGAGTCGTGCATGCGATTGTCCCCGTGTGCTTAGTTTGTTGACAGGTTTCAGCACTACTTGAAAGGACGGGCACTGACAGAACCCGTCCGTCTGGTCACCTTTGTGGAAACCGCTGTGGGCCTGCTCAATTTTAAGGTAAATTACAAACAAACCCCCAAAACTGCCTGCGTAAGGCATTTTGCTGTCGGTCCATTGTTCACTTTAGATTAAAGACGGCGTCAGCGAGCACACTCCACGTGTCCAAAATGAAAGGGTTTCAAAGCTTTCGGACAGTCTCTCAAAATGAGGCTTTTTTCTGTTTCCCTTTTCTCTGTCTGTATGCCTGCGTCTCTCTCTACCCCTCTCCAGACACACTGATTTTTAATTAGAGCTGTTTGAATATCATGATAGTGGAAAAGTTCTTAATGATATTTTGGCAGGCATCAAAGCGCTTCCTGTTATAGTACGGCACGACCTTCAGCTACATGGGGAAAAGGGCATGGGTTTTGAGAGTTTGGTTTATTTGTCTTTTAGTTCTCTACTCTGTTTCTGTGACTGTCTGTGGTTGTCAGTTTGTGTGTGTGTGTGTGTGTTTTGATGGCAGGGGGTGCCTCTCTGTGCTTTCTTGAGGACACCCTGTATCTTTGCCCAGACTGAACCCCAGGTTACAGACATGAAAAAAAGAAATCACTGTGGCACAGCTAGTGGTGAAATTAATTTGGAGGCTAACAAAAGCCAGGAGACGCATTCTTATTGTTTCACGCTCCTCACCACAGACAATCACATTCCACATTCTTCCCCCGTATTCGGTAATAATTGTTGCCTGAAGTCGTGCCTTAGAAATGGGGCTTATAATAGTTAGACATGTTCAGTAGTCTTAGGTCTTAATAAAAATAGCCACACAAAAGCTTTCCCTTACTATCATCCTGTAATTAAACATTTCTCAAAGAGAATTAAGTGTGATGACTTTTTCTGCCTGCAAAGAAAATTCCGAAATCCAGATTATCTAAACTTTTACATTATCAATAGGTCCAACTTTTTAATTCCTCTATCAATCTGTGACACTTGAGTGAGCCTGTTATAAATTAATACATTCTTTCCAGGCGGTTTGTGAGGAAGTCCGTCGACTTGCTCCGAAGGCCGGCCTCCACCATGACGGTGTGGTGTTTGGCTCTGATGACTTCTGTGCCAGCATAGGTAGTCATTACACCTCCTGCTTAACTTTCTGCTTGCTGTCTTGTACTTGTCTCTGTTACTTTTTTAATTACCCTTTCAACCACCCTTCAGGTGCCACACGGACCAAGGATGCCAGGGAGCTCCTTTACGCCAGGCAGAAGGTGGTCGTGACCACCAAAGCGTTTGGGCTGCAGGCTATCGACCTGGTCTACATCGACTACAAAGATGTGGAGGGGCTGAGGCGACAGGCCAGGGAGGGCGCTCTCATGGGCTTTACAGGTAAAGCTCCTGCTAAATGGGTCTCTAATCTGCCCATGTCCCATTAAATAAGGTCACCTCAAGTCATGATCACAACATCTTTGGCCATCCCAGAAATGGCTGTTTTCTGCACATCATTCAGCAGTTGCCCTTTATTTTTATTCTTCACTTCTCCCTGTGGCTGCAAGCCCCCAGGAAGTGCGCCGGACTCTGAGGAAAATATTAGTTGTGGCCAAACGGCGGTACTACACTTCCGTATCAGTCGCTGGGCCCGGAAAGACTTTTTCCCATTGACTAACATTGGGAAAGAGACGTCTGTAAATCGTTGGATAATTTTTTTTAAACTAAATAAACTACCCAGTATGAACATTTGTATATTATTAAAAACATTCGGTCCTCAAGTTGTAAAATGTGCTAATAACGTTATTCTGAGAGTTATTTTCACACACACACGGAACTAACCACAGGGACCCACGTCCATAGTGACCTGTCAAGTACTACATGTATGTAGTACCTCTTTACCCATGGATGCACAATAAGAACGGATTATATGATTATATGAATACTTTCGTGACGTTTCGCGCTCTCAAAAGTTGGGCCATTTTGTCTTCATGCGCCAATGAGCAACTCTCATAGGAATTAACGAGGCCCCGCCTCCCACGCTGTATCCAGTCCTTATTATACATCCATGTGTTCCTGCATAACGGACTGTCCTCAACTTCCTGTTGCCAGCAACATTCAGACAATCCCACATGTTATATCCGTTCCTCCTTGCCTCTTTAACCAGGTCTTTCTCTTTCTTTGTTCCAAGTGAGAATAGGATGTATATGTTATTTGAGTTAAAATGGAGTGGAAGGTTGCAGACCATCTGGCTTTTCATTTGAAATCCATATACATTTATGATTCATTGTAATGAATGAACGTCTCAAAATGTCCATTGTGGCAGTGGTTTAAGAACTGGCTGCTTGTCTTTTTTTAAGCACCTCAGGTGCTGCTAAAGTGAATTGTGAACGACACAGCTGTCCTTAAATGCTTTTCTGACATTTATTTTGTGCCACTATGATTGGTTTTGTGTGTGTGCACTTGGGTGCTTACCTGCTTATGTGCAAATATGCATGTGTGTGTGCTAAAGTATAAAGGGAGTTAAAGTAGTGGTAGGGTCTACTTTAACAGCGCTCTCGGTGAGTCTGTAGCCAGGCAACGCTTGCAAAATGTGTGTGTGTGTGTGCCCCGCGGACTGCGTGTAACAGACCACAGAAGGCTGGACAGCCTGTTCCAAAGTGGATATTCCAGTCATTCTTCCTCTGCCGCAGCACATTTATATATTCTGATATTTTGATCCTTTGCAGACTGATTATTTTAACATATGATATACTTCCTACTGTGATTTGTTTCCACATAAGAAATGAGGGCGTGGGTGAATCTCATTATATATTGTTTTATTTTTCTATGTTATGTTTAGGTTGTTATTCTTTGAATGTGAGATCATTGAACGAAGCAATTAGCCAGCATTCATTCAGGAATTAAATGGAGAAAAAGAAGCACTTAACACTTTTTGGGCTCTGAATAATTGTGAATGGTGAGCACTCCATGTTGCCCTGGCCTAGAGACATGTTACCTACACTTCACTTCACCAAATTGTGTGTGTGTGTGTGTGTGTGTGTGTGTGTGTGTGTGTGTGTGTGTGTGTGTGTGTGTGTGTGTGTGTGTGTGTGTGTGTGTGTGTGTTCCTGTCGATGATATTATACACCTTGCTACTAAACAGTTAAACATTCATCTTTTTCCAGGTTAATTAAATATTTATATTTATTTACACACTACTGTTAGTCGCATGTTATGTTGAGGGGTTTCTTAAACCTATGCACATCTGTTTAAATCATTTGCCTTTTTGAATCAAATGGGTTTGTTTTTTTCTGAAGAAAAAAAATATTTTTGAGATGGTAGCAGCCGGTTGATGAAATAAATGGTCCGATTTGATATGGAACCGAACCATCAAAGCACTGGATTAGTGGTTTACAAGCCATGGGCACTCTGTATAATCTTAGTTAGTAGCTATTACTGGCCCGAGTGTGCTTAAGCAATAATACGGTGCAGCCAAAAGCGTCTACCTGTGCAGTAATTGACCTTGGCACTACCTAAGCTGCATCCAGCACCCATTAGCACTGAGCACAGAACACACTGGTGAGACACACACATCTAGACTTCTTACCAGTACATGGGACATGCAAGGCAAAATCCAGCAAAAACCTTGACCAAGTAAATCTGTTTGGGAGGAAGGTCATTCATTTTTAGGTATAAAAGAGTGCAGTATCTTTACTTAATAAGCACCTTGTTTTATGTGCTTTATACTACATGTCGCTGCTTAGACTGAATGATCCTTCCAAAAGTGTTTGCCTCACTGACATAGAAATCGGTTCCACAAAGCTCTCTGCTTTCAGGGAAGGCATTTCACTTCCATCCCCGGGACCCTGCCCATCATTCGCCTGAGAGCACTTTGCTAAATGGCAATCCTCCAATGAGATGCCAGCACCACATGGCAGGCCAGGATTGGCTGGAGGGCATGAGTGATGCATTTTTAGGAGAACCAATGGGTTGTAACTGAGGGCACCTGAGTCACCCTGTCTGTTTCCTCTTCACTCTGTCATTCTCCTGTTGTCCTACACAGGCAGGCACACAACAGACAGACATACCCTCAAAGAGACACACTCTTTAAATATATTTAAACCAGCCAATTTCAGTGTGCAAACATGTTCCTTTCTCCAAAACAGAAGTAAAACAGGTGGCTCCTCTGGCCTAAATCCTCACAATAATACAATATCTGTATAATATCCAAACTACAATTGATATTTTAGTACTGCAGAGGCACGGGCAGGCACAAATAAATATACACAAGATTGCACGCACACACTCACACACACACTCCTACAGATCTCCAGCGTGGCCCTGGGGAGTCCTCAGGGCTGTTAGTCCAACCGAAAATGTGCAGTTAGTGTCTCCGCCTCACACAAACAAACACGCAGGCATTCATGAATTCGCAATGACTGGCTAACAGGTGCCAAGTGTCACAATTTATGCTGTGCATGATTCCCTCGAAGATATCTATTTGTCATAAGTTGCAAGTCAATGAATTGTGTTCTCTCATTAGTAATTGTTCAAGCCTTTAACTACAGTGTGCTCATTGTGTTGGTGCTCTGTGTGTTTTTTGGAGGTTAACTGGGGTGAGCGGAGCTGGATGCAGGGTGTGGGTTCTCTCCTCCCCTTTCCTCTTCTGTCTTATCCTCCTCTCCCCTTCTCATTTCTCCTGGGCAACATTTTTTCGTGCGTGCAGCCCGCCTGCTCGGCCACCTTGAAGGATTTGTTGTCAGCGACAGAGCTAAGCCCTAAAGTGTCGAGTTCCTGCTGGCTGCCGCTGAGCCGTCGTTCTCACCAGACGTTTCATAACCTTAACTTATCACTACAAGTTTGATCTGCAAATGTACACGGGATTATGTCTGCGGCGTTAGCCCACATTTAACTGAGACGGAGCGCCGGGGCATGGGAGGGGGTGGGGGATTGTCTCAGACAGAGCCTTAACTCCATGTTAGGCTCGTGTTTCAGTTGGATATAAGATGCCATTTCTGAAAGGTATGAAAACCACTAAGGTTCTGAAATTGTATAAAATGTTATCATGGGAAAATACATGCATTTCTTTTATTTTTACCAGTTAATAGAAAGTATTTGAATGAAGATGCTTGAAAACATTTGTTTAACATGTTTGAATATGGTTATAAATATAATATTTGGTCTAAACGTATTTTTCTTAATTTTGTTTTATTTTATTGGCATTTTTTTAAGAGTTGCTGTGTATGTTTTTACTTGGGCTCTGTGTGTTATATTGTCAGCAGTATTCCCTCTTTCACATGCTGAAGTCTAAGGACAGTCAGACAGAAGGCCTGCGACCAGAAGTGATGATGCACAGCCTCCTCTGGTCCCGTGCTGACCATCTGACTCACCTCAGTGTTGCCATAGGATACACGGACACATAAACATCCACACACAATTTAGTCTTCTGTATTTCCTGTTTCTCTTGTCTCATTGCTTTTCTCTGTTGTGGTTTCTCCCTCTTGTGAACAGTGCCGGCTGCAATCCCTCATCAATCTCAGGGATTTCTTTTTCCATTCATGCAGCTGTTTGCTCAACAGTTTTCATAATAACATATCTTGCTTGTTATAATCAGGGAGTGTAATTGGCACAAACTGGTTTATTGAAAGCTCTGTGCCAACACGTAAAAACATTGTTTTTTAGCACAAATGTCTCTTTGATTCGAAGCCTAGCCTGCTGTTACCATTTGCATATTTCACTTACACTCTCTCTCTCTCTCCCTCTCTCTCTGTGTGTGTGTTTCCTGTGCAGGTAAGCAGGTTATCCACCCGGGGCAGATCCAAGCTGTGCAGGAGGAGTTCTCCCCCAGTCTGGAGAGGGTCCAGTGGGCCAAAGAGCTTATTGCTGCTTTTGACCAACACCAAAAGGAGGGAAAGGTAATGTTACTATTCTCTTCCCAAAGTGATTATTTTACATTTAAAAATAAATTGCCAGCTATGGATGGTTATTTCTTAGATAATTCAAAAATGTGTTATCTATCAATATAACTTGATAGATTGGGCAAAAGCAATATGAATAGATGACACAAAAAAACACTACCCATTGCTCTTTAAACTTTAATCGTTTTTTTAGCATTTATCCTGATTGTTAAAATGTTTTCAGTAAGTTAACTTGGGCAACAACCTCATTAAAATGTGATTTCAGATTTCTTTCTTTCTTCCAAAATCAATTCAAACAAACAATGACCGCACAAAACAACTTTATTTATTCCAAATCCTTTCATCCTTTAAAAGGGGAGATATGTCCTATTAACCAGGGGATATTGCTATATGAGACTTTCTGTAATGTATGTGTCCTGCGTGACTCATTATCTGGGACTCTTCAGATGAGCGGGGAGTTTTTCTGCTCTGAGACTCGGACTGATCCTTTTGTGTTCCCTCTTGCACACCTCTGTAGTTCCAGAGAATACATACTGTACACCCCTGGGTGACTCTCAGAGATGCATAGGNGCCCTTTTCGAACTAACACACTGTAACCCATGAAATGGACTCTTTGTTTGTAGTGTGGAAAACAAAAGTTTAGCTATCTCTTTTGTGTGTATATTCTTAAGAGATAGCTAAACTTTTGTTTTCCACACTACAAACAAAGAGTCCATTTCATGGGTTACAGTGTGTTAGTTCGAAAAGGGCCAAAGGTTTACAGATGGTTGATGTAATGATGAATCTAGTGTGTGATAATGTTTTACTTTCTGTAACAGCTGACGTCAAATCTAATCACGTGTTAGTAGATGAAACATTCCGAAACATAAACACAGGCGGCACCACTATGTGGAAAGTGACAACGAAAGAGCAGGACCCTACTCAGCCCTATTTCTCCATTAAGGGTGTGGTGTGGGTGGTGTTGGACATTGACCCGTGCCCCTTCCTTCCCTACTGGGAGGACCATGGAAACTCAATGTCATACGTGTCAACTTGTTTGCCACCTACGAAATCCAGGACCATACTGTATTTAAGCCTCCAATATGTTGTGGCTTTTAGAAGATTTGTTACTACAGATTATACAACAGATGCATGTATACATGTTCAGTCTCATTTACACAAGTAATCCTACCTTTTTAAGCTCCATAAGTAAAGCCATCACAAAAACCTTGCACTTTGTCAAAGACAGGTTTCTCAAGAAGGTACATTCATGTTTCATGTGTATATTGTTCCCACTAGGCCTATAACATTTTAAAAGGCACCTACACTTTATCGACACTCAAAGATAATATATTAGGGCGGTGGTGGCGAAGTCCATAGGGACTTGGCTTGGTAACTGGAAGGTCACCAGTTCAAGTCTCGGCAAGACCGAGTGCTACCGAGGTGTCCCTGAGCAAGGCACCGTTCCCTACACTGTCCATAATAATGGCAGCCCACTGCTCCTAAAACTAGGATGGGTCAAATGCAGAGAAACCGTTTTGGTACTATAGTATGTAATGACAATAAAAGTAAAAAAAACAAAAACCTGAATGCACTGTTCAATAACAGCTTTCTATGGGAATTCATTGGGATTAGGTCCACTATGGAATTGCATCTATAAATATATATTTACTAGCAATCATCATGTTCATGTTAGAACTGGTAAACCCCTTTTCCCCCCATTGCTTGTAAATCTCTAGCTAAAGCATGTTTTTGATTGTCCATCAAATAATTGGCAAAACAACGAATGCTCAGCGAACCTCGTCAGGCTTTCCACATAAAGCTAAATACTTCATAAATTATTGCTTTTGTCAAAGGAGTGTTTATGTGTGTGCAATATACCATATTATAAAAAGGCACTGGGCTGACCAGAATGTGGGCACTAACATTACTCCCAATGGGGATTCTGAAACACAACAGAAACACAATGTCAAGGTCACTCGAACGGGTCAATTGCTGGAGTCCAGATAGCAACAGTATCGGCATCGGGTACAGGAAGTCATTAAGAATATTCCATTTGGAGTAGGTAAAAGGTTTCCTGAGCAGAGTGCAGAATGGGTGTTGGCATATTGTTGCTGGAAATGTCTGCTGATTGACACGGGGCATGACAGTTGACATGCTGCATACTGTTTGGACTGGAATGCAGCCTAATGACCATCAATGTTATCAATTGTCATGATGAAGACTTTTCAATCAAGGCATACATTTTTCCTAAACACTTTGGATTTTTAACCAAATAAAAGTTGATTGTCTGAATCATATGTTTAAGTAAAACAAATATTGAATTAGAAATGTTGACTAAAACTCAATGTGGAGGATTAAAAAGACAAGATAACTTCTATATAGTTTGCAGCTGAATGTGTCGCTCTCGAGAGGTCCTGTAGTAAAGCTGGACTTCAAAAGAGCCTCATCACGGTCACATTCTCTCACAAGAGAGCACGGTAATGGAGACCGGATGCACAGGCTTAGACTAGGTTAGGCTAACATAAAGAGAGGAATGAAAAAATGCTTTGAATGTTGCCTTTTAAAAAAGGGAAGAGCTCCTGTATATGCTTCCTGACCTATAACTACACTTCCTTCCCCAGAGAAGAAAAGGAATGCTGTTTCAGGTTTTAGAAATTAGTAGGGACGTGCACTTTAGTATCCCCACAATAGCTCCCGCAGTGAATGCTAAAGAGAATTTCTTCAAAGCCTTTGTATCCTGGGCAGTTTTAAAGCAAATCCAATGTATATAAGATCTGTCATTGCCCCTCTGCTGCCCCCAGTGGTCAATACATGGGTATTTTAAAGAGCAGTGTTTTATTTAGAAAAATGATATTTAAAAAACATAACACACAAAGGCCACTAATCAAAGGTGTCACCAAATTCTTCCAGAACTGAAATGAAACTTAAAATAAAACTACTGTGTTATGGCCGCATCATGCACGTACATCATGCAGACCTGCTTACACTAGATCGTTTAAATTTTATTGAATGCACATAATGCAAAGTAAGCCAATTAAAACCTGTAAAATGGATGTACTACAAATGTTTATAATCTATATTCTAAACGCGACACGCTCATACTTTTACTACTGGACAAAAAAACTCCAAATGAAGGTTTATAGCCTGGATTATGTTTGCATTTTTCTCACAATGGAATCAAAATACAAAGAGAAACATAGAATAAAATGCATGTCTTTCATTCTTCCTCTCCTTTTTCTTCCTACATCCCTCTGGTTTTCTGTCCTCCATCCTTGCAGTGGCTAACTCCGTCTAACACAAGGTCCCCACTTTGACTGTGGCTTCATCCTGTATTTTCCAATTATCACCTTTTAAAGGCCAGCTGGGTGCATTCCAAATCATCAGGGGGCAATTCCATTTGCATTGCTCTGAGACAAAGTCATGCCCAAGTACTTTCATGCTAAAGTTCATAACAGGCAGTCTAAAAAAGACGCTATAGCTGTAGCTACAAAGTCCCCAATACTTTCAGAGTCAAAACATATCAAACTGAAACATCTATTATTCTTTACAATTCTCAAAACTCTCTAAAAAGGCCAAAAATGAAGACTTGAGAGAACATGAAAATCTGACAGTGCTGAGGTAAGTTGGAGGACCTGCCGAAGCTTTAAGGTAAACAAGTGTGCTTGCTTAGTAAACACAGCGAGCAGCTTGAACCAAACTTTCTCCTCATTTCAGACTAATCAATGTAGCTCTCCTGTGAGTGCTAGCTCTGTTTACAATTACACCTCATTATGCTGATTTTATTCTCTGTTTTTCAATAACTTGATTTTTAAGCAACTACAGGAATATTTTCCATCTATTTTATTTAGGTCAATTAGTAACGCCCATTGAAATGCACTGCAATCAAAAGGGCTTTTCCCTCTATTGAAATGACCATTGCGCGCGCGTGTGTGTGTGTGTGTGTGTGTAGGGTTAGTGGGAATGTAACTGTTTCATTTGCTTTGCACATTAATGAACACTGCCTCCTCTGCCTGCCTTTAGGCTCTCTTTTCCTAATGCTTGGGCNATTTTTAAGCAACTACAGGAATATTTTCCATCTATTTTATTTAGGTCAATTAGTAACGCCCATTGAAATGCACTGCAATCAAAAGGGCTTTTCCCTCTATTGAAATGACCATTGCGCGTGTGTGTGTGTGTGTGTGTGTGTGTGTGTGTGTGTGTGTGTGTGTGTGTGTGTGTGTAGGGGTAGTGGGAATGTAACTGTTTCATTTGCTTTGCACATTAATGAACACTGCCTCCTCTGCCTGCCTTTAGGCTCTCTTTTCCTAATGCTTGGGCTGTTCACCAGTGTAAACTTGTGTTTGATTTCTTCTCTCCGCTACCCTTCGGACTGCATATAGCAGCATTTAGCTACGAATGAATTTTCATGTTTGGATATACCCTGCTGAGGTGTGATGCCGGTGGCACAAAATCAAAGTCTGCAACACTACATATGGGTAGATAGGCCTTGTGGGTATTTTCACAGTGCAGATCTGTAGCTGGGCGGGGGGAACTAAAGGCAGAAAGATGGGTCAACGGGCAACAGACAAAAAAAGAAGTCAGCGATAGGACAATGGGACATTTGACACAAAAGAATATGTCAATTGTGTCAGAAGGAGAAGAGTAGTACTTTTGCAGTGTGGTGTGCAGCTGCGAATGTGTGTTTGTGATAATGCCCAAACAAGACACGCACCCACAGCCACAGCTCAAACACCAGCAGCCCTTAACATGGTGTGTCTAATGCTCCTATTTAGTGTTTGGGGTGCAGCGGCGCGTGGCCTGAGGTTTTTGGGAGGGGAGCGTGGATAGCACCTAGCCTGACAGCTGCGCCCCAAACCGGAGACAAAAGCCTGAGGAAGTACCGCATCATCGAAGATGGGACTAAAAGGCATGACAATTTGCTTGTGGTCTGGCCTATACTGCTGTCTGATTCACTGCATAGTCCACTCTTCATGGTGAAAATGGCACATTAGCAAACACTACTCTTATAATGCAAGCTTGGGGGACATCTTTAAACTAATTCCACTATATGTTTAAGAAAAAAAGGACTAGCCATCATGTGATATTCTCAGATCAAAAGCTGAAACACAAACTACTAATTCCTAACAGACTATGTTTCAAACAAACAACAGAAAGAACATAGGCCA